TATAAATCTTGAACCTTGATGATTCATTTGTTAGATCTAGCTAGTTTTGAGTTTTATGAGATTTTTGTCCCATAATCTTGGTATATATGAGTTTGGCTTACTCTAGACCAAATGAGTTGTCCTTTCAGACATTTTTGGGTGCTTTGAGTCATAAAATTGTCATCTTGATTCTTTCCTTTCACCCATGCAAGAAATATGAAGCTTGGAGTTGTGTAATAAGCTAGGATTTTGGTTTTGGGCACTTTCTAGCCATGCAAAGTCATAAAGTTGGAAAGTTTATGATTTAGAATGTCATTTGGGATTCATATATGAGCTTTGGAAGAAAGATCTTAAGTGATTAAGTGCTTAATAGAAAAGTGGATCAACCTTGCATATGTTGGGCGTACCCAAGTGGTATGTAGCGCGTACAAGGCTGAAGTCATGTACGCCATCCATATAGATGGAGTACGTATGGCGTACTCAGCATAATGTGGGACTTGACTTTCTTTGACTTTTTGACTTTGACCTTTGACCAGGGTTTTGACCAAGTTTGACCTAGGGACATTTTGGGTAATTTGAGTAGTAGTTTGAGTTTAGGTTACTATTTATTGTATAGGTGACCAGTAGATTTAGTAATTGGAGCAGTGATTTGTTTAGCTACATTTTAGACTGTGAGGTGAGTTTTCCTCACTGTACTTGTGGGTCGAAGGCACTAATGATGGCTTACTGGATTATGTATTGGATTGATGTTATGTTGGTTATATGATAGACTGGTAGATCTGTATGATTACCTATGTTCACTGATTATGTTACTGACTGGTTAATCTGTATGATTACATGTACTTGTTGTTTATTGATTGTTATTGTATATGTCGACATGTTATGGTTTGTTGGGTTGAGGCGGTCCTGCTTTGTGCTAAAGGCCAAGATACCCGGGGCGGTCCGGATAGACTGAAGGCCAGCGAGGCGGTTCAGTCAGGGCGAAGGCTCGGAGAGCGGTCCATATAGGCTGAAGGCTCTGCGAGGCGGTCCAGGATGAAGGCTCATATATGCATGTTGTTATCTATATGGTTGTGTGTGGTACTACATGGGAACTCACTAAGATTTGGCTTACAGTTGATTGATATGGTTTCAGGTACTTCAGAGGCCAGGGGCAAGGCGAAGGCTTGATCGTGCACATCATCCTAGATATTTTATGTTATAATTTTGAGATACTATGATTCATGTTTTGACTTTTGGAAACCATGATTTGTGGATACTTATGGTTTTTGAATGGTTTTGAAAAATGAAAATTTTACCTTGATTTTTGGGATATTACATTTTATAGACTATCCTTTACACATCAGGGTACATTGGTGTATGCTTTTTCCAATACATTGTTTCCATGACAGACACTATGACTATGCTAAATTATAGGTTGGATGGCTAGAAGTCAATGTTGGAAGAAAAAAGGCTTCACATCAATACAATTAAGACATGATATGTGTTGGATCATAGTGCTTATTTCAAATTCAATAAACAAAACAGACAACAAATTCAAATAAATAAATCACTATGATTTAGCCACTTGGATAATTGTTCATACAATATTAGCAACTTACTTAACCTACAAGAAAGGTTTTAGGGTTACATTATGATGGAGGAAATTAGAGACAATGGTCTAAATCGTAACACATATGACAATATCACACCCCTCAACAAGCAACCAAACAAGAAACATATATTATTGATATAATCATTTATAATTATCTATAAGAATTATCCATTAATTATAATAATTAATATAATTCTTTTAGCATGATTATTTAATTAATTCTAGTAGTTAATTTCTAATTATTTATTAACACTTTAATAATTAAAAAATCAATTTATTAACTCTAAATTATTTATCGACACTTTAATAAAAATTAAATTAATTCCTCTCATCAAATATTCTTGCTACATAATCTTGAGTTGAGTGTGAAACTTATACATGCCTATGCAACTATGTATCACTATTATGTTGTGACAGTGGGCATATTTCCAACAATATGTATAGTGATATTTCAGTGGGGAGGGAATGAAGGAGCATAAGTATGTAACGGTGAACAAATTATTCCTCTAAAGGGGTGTTTTATATACCTATGATCTATGATATATAACGAAAGGGTGTTGAGGGTGTTTTAAATATCTATAATATATGATATATAACAAAAGAGTGTTGAGGATAACATTGCAAGGTGAGATAGTTAAGGTGGAGAGCAACCACAAAAGTTTTTTTATGATAAGAAAGCTCCACTGAAACTCAAGGGTAAAAATCTGCATGGGGGTTGTAAGGCCAACTTTGTTGTATGGTTCAAAATATTGGCCGATAGGAAGAATCATTGAGCGGAAGATAGAGGTTGTAGAAAATAAGGATGTCATGGTGGAATTGGAATAGAAACTTATGGAACAATCATAAATGTGTTGGACGTGCGTTGATCATAGAGAAATTAAATGAAGGAAGATTGTGGTGGTTCATACACATTTATAAAATACATCTGATGGCTACCGTGAGGAGGGCGAGGATGATTGTTGTAGATGAAGTGAGGATGAGAGGTTGTCCAACGAGGAAATAGGAAGATAGCGTGAGGTTAGAGTTGAAGGAGCCATATCTTTCCATGGACATAACCTCGTATACGAGGAGTGTAGAGGTTTAGTATGAGGTGGTGGAGTAGTATATATCAGTAGTCTAAATGTTAACTTCCTTCCTACTATTTTTGCATGTTATGTTAGTTTCACTACACATCCTTTTGACTTGTTATTGTTAGATATATGTTTAGAATATTTTATATTTCATTCTCTTTAATGTTAAAGGTATTTATAGAGTACAATTTAGAAAGCTTCTATCACTCTAACACTAAAATAAAGAAACTATATCAAGATAATATGGAAAGTAGGATGATATCAAATACTAATATAATACTATCTAATACACCCCTCATTCGAAGCAGATGTAGGGCGAATGTTGAGATCCTGAAATCTTCGAACACTCATGATTCTGAAATCTTTAAATATTATTGCTCATGATCTTGAATGACTATTTTTTTTATATTCTTTTAAACCACTATAAATATTATAATAAACCTATCATTTTATCACACCACAACCTTCTTGCAACTCTCTCATTCTCTTGTCACACAATTTTCCGACCTTTTAAAACATGTCTTGGCACCAACGAAGAAGTCGTGTTGACCAATGCTTGGGTTAATACGACAAAATACGAAGTTATCGACAATCACGAGCGCGAAATCATTGGTTTGGGAAGTTTGTGAATAGAAAGGAAAAGAGAGTTATGTACAAAGGAAGTGAAGGGAGTCGAGTTCACATCTGAAACCGGTTTTTTGAGATCCGCTAAAAAAAACCGGACCAGTTTTTTAGAACCTGTTTTGTTTTGTTTTTTTTAGAACCAAATCATTAGTTTGGAATGGGTTTTTATTATATAACTAAAACCAAAAAACCGGTCTAGAGAAAACCGTTTAAAAAATGAAACGATCTTTTGCCCCTCTTCATTTATCTCTTTTTATATATTTCATCATTTAACTATACCATCCATGTAACAAAATTTCCTTTTGGGTTGTTATGATAAGCGGTTACAAAAGTCATGATCCCCTACCAATCACATTCATCAACCACAAACAGAAATCGGACAAAATATAGAAAAACACAACATATTTTCCCAACTTTATCGGTTAAGACCCTCGACATTTTTAGAGATTCCTTTATCGGTTGAGACCCTCCCAAACCTTTTTAATGATTAAATCTTATACATTACTTGTCTTATTAAACATTTTTTTTGTTTAGTCTTTTAAGTAAATAACCAAACATTTCAACCCAACACTTTCTAGGGTAAGTACTATATCATAATAACAATCATTGTACCATATAGCAACAAACTTTTCGTTCTTTTTTACCAATATAGGAAATGTACTTTATTTTTTTACCATATTAACAACCAACTTGTATTTTCCCGCTAATTCACACAATATATAACCAACGTAACGCTGATGTGGCACATGTTACCATGTCATTATCCACATCGAATGTCGAGTACAAACACGAAGCCATAGAAATTTATGGAAATAAAATACTTTTTCTGTTCATATTGAATTGGGAAACACGTTATAGCCAAAAAAAAACGAGAAATCAAATATCAGTCTCAATCTCGGTCTGTATAAAATTGTCATGTCATGTTATATAGGTACCCAACATATGTGGGCCCTATAGAAAACTAATAACATATAAAGAAAACCAGTCACATGGGGTTGTCACAAGTACCTCTACCTTCTACTTCTATGAATCATATTATCAATTAACTAACACTAAGGATAATTAAGTAATTTCATGTTTTTATTAAATAAATAATTCTTCTGCTACAACTCCACTTTTCTCCAAATCTAATTATTTGGTCCTTCAATAATCAGAAACCCTCAAATGATGATGAGTCCAATTGAACACTCAAAACAGATCATTGCAACATCAATTGCAATAATCGCTTTAGTCCCACATCCAAAGCCTATAGATTGCAGAGTTCCATTAATACTATTGGGCAAAAGACCACTTTAAGATAAAGAAATTCATATCAAGAATCAATTTCCAGTACAGAAAATCCATTGAACTTTTAAGATGAATTTTGTTACAGATTTATATTAATCCCTCAATTTGAGCCTAACCCAATTGACATAATCAATCAAGAATACAATGGAGGTGTGTGGATGTGAGATTAATCTGATTATTATAATATTATTACGACTTGATTTTAAGTGTTCATGTAGAAGTGATCATGATTATGAATTTCTGATTGTTTAGAGTTGAAACAAATTAACCAATCGCAATTCACATACAATGAAACGAACCATGGAATTCGAGAATGATCATAACACCAGATATTCATTGCATTGCAACATTAAGGTTTAGTAACATCAGGGAGAATAGACAGAGAGAAGAAAGATTTTGAAAATTGAAAAGCCTTACTAGAAGCAGAAACCTCGAAAACGCTTCATTCATTTCATTGCAGCAACTTCGTCGGCAGTAGGAGGCACAGGTTTAGCAACGGCAGGGATGGCGACGTATCCGTTCGAATTAGATCTAACGCCATTTTCTTCGTCATCGCTCTCCTCATCAGAATCCGCGCCAAAATCAAAGCGTCTGGGGGCGAACAGGGACCAGATTAAGTACATGGTAGCGGCGGTGAGAGCACCGCATCCAACGCCGAAGAGTAACGCGCCGACGATGCTCATGATGTCCATAGTACGTTCACGAATCGATGCTTTAACAGAGGTAGACGTTGCTGAATAATACGGAACTGAAGAGACAACATCATCGGATGATGATGATTCGATAGAGCGATCAAAAACAGATGCAGAGCGAGGAAGCGATCTGGTGCGATGGAATTCGCGGATTTCGGTGACGAAGAAGGTGAGACGTGGGGAATTGTTGGGGTTTCGAAGAATATGGAAATTAGGTTTTGGGAGGAAAGGATCGTCGGTGGGGTAGTGAGATGACGAAGTGATGAAGAAGATGGTTTTGCAAGGTCTTGCGGTGGTGGAGATTGCCAAAACGCCGATGAGGGCCGCGAACAGGAGAACACCGGCGGTCGTCGACGCCATTGACACGGAGGGGGGAGAGAGAGAAAGATTTTGGAGGATTGGATTGGAATGGAATTTGGGGGAAAGAATTCGCAGGAATTGATGGTTGAATTATACGGAGGGCCTACGGTGAGCCAAGATGAATTTCCGGTCACGTCACTAACAAGTAACAACTTTCAACTTTTTATTTAATCGTGTGGATGAACCCTAGACGACTTAACTATTAATAAATTGCCAAACCAAACTCTCAAGTTCTGTTATTAATATAAACATGTGTATATGTTTTCTATTTTTGATAAGTATTTGATTTTCTATTTATAGTAACATTCAACCCCCTTTTTTTTCCTAATTTTTAACAACATACAACTTTAAATAATGGTTACTATTTGTATATTTGTCAAAGGGTGTGTTCAGCAAAACTAGTCGGTAATATTTTGTTAAATGCTACGTGAAGTAACATTTGAATTTGGAGTGTTTTGTTTAAACTAAACGTTAAAAGCTTGTAGTGTCAAACAAGTATTTTTGTTTAAAACGTAGCGTTTTGTCAAACGCTAGAAGCTTCCAAACGATCCGTGCTTGTGCTGAACACTATTTTCCAAAAGTTAATTGGTCTAGTGGTATGAAATCCCTTGACATTTTATTGCTAATCAAATGTATTATTTTATATTTTTCATCTTTTAACTGGGATTTTGTTGATCTTATTTATTATTCAAGTTATAATAATGAACATATTACTTGAATACATGAATCATAATCCTTTGATATCTTTGATTTTCCCAATTTGATTCATACTGGAAGCCTCATGATGTGAACACGATCTTTTAGTTGGTTACGATGAAGTGTATGTGCTCCGTTCAGTTAGGAAACAAGAACACATGAGAGAGAAGGCACTATGTGCTGAAGACCCAGAAGTACACTCAGATGGTTAAGTCATCTAGGTGTGTATGTGTGTGTATGAGAGAGAGAGAGAGAAAAAAAAAAGAGTATGGTTTGCGGGTGTTTGTTATCAGAGAGGAAATCATGCATTCCCTCATAATTGATGTCACCTCTTATAAGTTGATTGTTTTGTTTGTCTCTTTCTTGGACGTTAAGTGTCATGGAATATTTTCCTTATTGGTTATACCCTTTTACTCTAGTACAGTTTGTTAAGGTCGACGAATGATAGCATATGACCGTTCTCAACAAAATAAAAATCCCCCGCCTTACAAAGCAACTACTAGTTTAAGGAGCATTTGGCTAATTTGCTCGGGTGTGGCTTGCTTTATAATGACTTGGTTGAGGACACGTTATCAACTCCACATAGTCTTGAACGTAATGATGTTTAATGACATAAGTGGTTAGAACTTAGCTTTGACATATGTCATGTTGTAGTCTCCTAGGTTTCTGAGGGCAGTGATGCTTCAACTTTCTTTGCCACTCATCAATTATGGTGTCAGCTCGACTTAGATAAATCAAATATCTTCCTACATTTTGTTCATGCTCACTAGATCAAGACAAGTGTCAAAATCAAAAGATTGGATTAAGAAAGAAAATTATTGGACTTCTACTGTCATTATTTTAGATGAGTAGTAAGATATGTAGGAATAAAAGGGTAGGAAGATATTTAAATTCTATTCGACTTATATTTTAATAATTGTTTTTAGGTTTTCCCGTGCATTAGATTCCTTCGTTATCGGCGACATTTTCTAGGGTATTGTGACATCCCCTATTTTCTAGAACCTAAAAAAACTTTTTCATTACACTTTCAAAATCATAATATCTTTGTTTGCGGAAAATTCCAGTGTATTAAAACATTTTGAGTACAAATAATTGTTTCAAAATATCAAAACCTTAAGGATGTCATAATCAATACACAACATAAGTTACAACGCAAAGACCTAACGATCCTGAATACTCTTACATGTCTTCTCTTTAATCACTCAGTATCCTATTCAAATCTTCAGCAGTCTTAACATCGCTACCTGTGATGTATATAAATTGAGTGAGTCGGGTAGGAAACCTGATGAGATACATAGAGTTTTCAATCCCATAATGTTGTTATGATAATAATCCAAGGAGGGCGGAAACGTTCGGGGGTGGAGGACTTCATGTAAAGTATCACAGCAAAGAGTATAATAGTGCTCAAAGTAAATACAACCATCATAAATATAATTGAAAAGGTTACACCATAGAATAAGTTTACATGTTTCAAAATCAATTACATTATGATGACAAAATGAACTGTTTGACGATTTATCGTCCCATCCTCAAAATACTGTTGGTTTTCTGTTTCACTGATTTCCTAAGAATACAAGTAGTTTTGAAAAGAGTGTCAACAATTAAGTTGACGAGTTCATAAGAGTTTTGTTTGAGAAAGAAACCGTTTTCCTTGTAAAAGCGATATAGTATGATTTCCAGAAAATCCAATATTTTCTTAGTTAAGTGTGGAATGAATGCTCCTACGTTATGCGATAATGAACCCTGGAAGGACCCATAGATTCCTTCTATAATCGCCCAACGTATATAAGTTATATAAAAGTTAAGTTAAATAAACCGCTGAATATAATGGGTCTGTCCTAGGTCCACAACCCAACAAGGAACAGGAGATAAGGCGGGCCCACCAATTCTAAGTCGATTGTGACTAGATTCTTATATAACTCTAGCATATACACTTAGGAATTATAGCTGAAGTCTAACAATTCTAGATGAAATGTAGTTTTAATAGAAATATGTTTCCAAAGAAAATCCAATATTTTCCTTATAAAAGTTAGGTAGTCCTAAATCCCAGGACCGAGAATAAACAAGTATTTTTCCATACTTAAAGTAATTCATGTAAGTTTAAATCGACATAAACTCGTTTAATTTAGAAGTGAACCCCTTTTCAAAGTAGAATTTTCCATGTAAACTTGAAAGATTGTTAACTACCTATGTGAGTCGCTATAACCATACTATGACGAGAAATAACCTGCACAACGTTTTTCAGACGTTAAGATACTATGACTCTTGTCACCCGCAGACCTGCCGGTCCGGCTATAGCTAGCAACGAGGTGTGGGGTGTCAATCCCAATATAGATCTATACACAATTATCACGCTCTCCCTATAAGAGACTCTGGTTATAACTTACAGGAATTGGGATCCCGTACTCGAACGTACAGGGAGAGAATTGCCTCACAACCTAAGTTAACTAGTTTACACATAGTTTGATATTAAAACCTCTTCCATGGAGGAAGTAAAATCATCTTTTATGAATAAATTAGTGATATGAAATCCTTAAGCTATTACTATTATAGTTTATCATGTAGTATATGAAAAACCCATTTGTTTTGAGAGTAAAACCTTTTTCATGTAGTAAAAATCCATAAACTTCGGTTCTCAGGAGGTTTCGGTTCTTTAAGGGAGGTTCGACTCCTTAAGAGGGTTCGTCTCCTTAAGACTGTTTTTCGCGTAAACTTCTGTTTTCGAGCGGTTTTCGACTAAATCGAGGGTCGGGATGCCCTAAGTGATTATAAGAAGTTGAGAGAGATTTCGAGAGAGATTTGGGAGAGATTTGACATACTTGGAGAGATTTGGGAGAGATTTCACATACTTGGAGAGATTTCTCGTACAGAGAGAGATTTCACATACTTGGAGAGATTTCTCGTACAAAGAGAGATTTGGGAGAGATTTCACATTCTTGGAGAGATTTCTCATACAGAGAGAGATTTGGGAGAGATTTCACATTCTTGGAGAGATTTCTCGTACAGAGAGAGATTTGGGAGATATTTCACATTCTTGGAGAGATTTGGGAGAGATTTCACACACTTGGAGAGATTTCTCATTCAGAGAGAGATTTGGGAGATATTTCTTTTGTGACCTTTTTGAGTGTTTGGCTTCGCAACGCAAGGTTCTTACACTCTGTTAAGCCTTGTTATGAATGTTATACGCTCTCGAGGGGTATTGAATAACATTTTATCGAGTAGATTCATCAATTACCCTGATTAGGGTTTAGAATTTCGGAACACGTTAAAACTCTAAGTGATACTTTATATTAAGATTGCGAGTAGTACAATAAGAATCATAATGGAAACCCTAATATACAAGGGTTAGATGAGTTGACCGGTTTGACTTGTTGACTTTAGTTGACTTTGACTTGGCCAAAAATTGATGGTTGTCACATCATCCCCCCGTTAGAAAGAATTTCGTCCCGAAATTAGTGTTTCAACTGGGACTTCAAGAATTTGGAGGAAAGATGGGGGAACTTTTCGTAGTATAAGAAATTGATACGGTGGGGAACAACCCGCCTGATGTTAAATGACGACCTTGGAATTTCTTATTGTAACTTGAGCTGAGTCGATTTAAAAGGAGTTATTGTTTTGGGATGATAGTGTATTCAATGTGTGCCTTTAAGCTCCCTGTTTTATCCTTGGTATTACTACTATGAATATTTTATAATGTAGTTAGCGAGTACTAGCATTACGAGTGTTTCAACAATTTATGACGAAATTTGCATTATAAGTCCTACCAGTTCTTTTTATAATCGCTTGGTGTAAACTAATCGTATATCATTAAGATTGCAAGGGCATTCGGATGGGTGACCCCGCCTTAAGCCCACAACCAAACAAGGAACAGGAAATGAGGCGGAATCACACATTCTAAGTCCATAGAATCTTAATGATATATGGCCACAATTTTTACACTAGCCATCATAGATTCACTAGTAAAAACCCTGCCTTTTTATTTAGATGATAAGACTTATTCGGGTTTTGCCGTGTTCTCGAGATGCTTTCAGCCTTTCTCGAATTTGTACTAAGTCATAAGTGATAACTTCTCCTCGGAGCGCTGCATAAGGTCTGCCTTAGTGTTTCTCGTTTGATTAGATCGGTAGGGAACATATGGGTTCGGTTTACACGACTAGACTTGTTCGTATGATAGGGCGTTCACTCGCACTCCTGGGTAACCTGGTCCCGAAGTTCATGGTAGGACTCGTACCTGGTTCATCTATCATCAACTTGCGCATATAGGTCGTATGTAATTAAGGTTGGCAAGACAGTTGGATGGGTGA